CTTTTCCCTAGCTCAGCTGCAAGCTTCCTTTTTGCATGTCTGTGTCCTGTCCCTTACTTGAGCCTCCCCCAGTACCTTCAATAAGAAGCCCTGTCCTCTCCACCACCATGAGGGACCATGATGCCCCCTTCTCTTTTCTTCTTTGAAGAGCCCTATCTCTTTTTCCTGCTCCATAAGGAATCCTATCCGTTGCTCCACTTCTGTCAGGGATCTTGCTCCTTAAACCCTTTTCTTTGAGGGGTCCCGCTCCCTCCATTTCTGTGAGTGCTCTTTATCCTCCCCACTTCTATAAGACTCTCATCTCACTTCACTTTTTGAGAAGGCCTGCCTGCTCCCTTCCCTTCACCATACCTGGGGACAGGGACCCAGTCACCAGCTGGTAGAGGGATCTTGCTGCTTGCCCCAACGGGCTCCGGCACCTGCGGGGGCAGCGGTTCATGGTTCTGCAGGAGAGCTTTGTGGCCAAGCTCCGCCCTCAAAGCCCGGGGGCGGTCTGGGCCGTCTCAGCCACCACCCAAGTGGGTTCTGTGTGGGCGGAGCAGGAGGACTGGACTGGCAGAGGTTCTCGGACCCTAGGACTCTTCCCACCTTCCCCTGGCTAGGGAAGAATGCTGGCCTCATCATTTGAAGGACCCACCCCCAAAGTTCCTAGAGCAGGTAAGGGCAGAGGGGCAGTACAAACTCCCCATAACCTTCTTTTGAAACATTTTGTGGAATCCTGGCAAGAAAGCCGGGTATGCAAGGGTTTGGAAAATGATCTGGTCAGGGAATAGACCTTTCATTGCCTCTTTTCAGCTCCTCCTCCTCCTGTGCCCCCCAACCCCCATTTTGCTAAGGGTAAGAGAACAGAGTTGTCATGGCAACTCCCCACACTTCCACACTTCCTAAACCAACTGGAGAAAAAGCAGGAGGAAGGAGAGAGGCCGGTGAGTTTATCCGAAGGTAAAGAGGAGATGGCAGGGCTTTGCATCCACTTGGTATTTGCACCTAAATCCAAATAGGACTTCACTCCCATTTTTTTTTTTTTTTAAATTATGTGGTACTAGGGATTGAACCCAGGGGAGCTCTACCACTGAACTACGTCCCTAGCTCCACCCCTTTTATTTTATTATTTTTTGGGACAGGATTTTTCTAAGTTGCCTAAGCTGGCCTCGAATTTGCAATCCTTCCAGGATCCTAAAATACTTTCAAACTCCTAGGAAAACCTACAGAAGAGATATAGTCCCAATGCTCTGACTGGGATCACATTTTTAGGGGGATTGAAATCATTATTTTTAGGTATTGGGGATTAACTAAAGGGCACTGTACCTCTGAGCTACATCTCCAGCCCTTAATTAATTAATTAATTAATTAATTATTGGTACTGGGGATTGAGCCCGGGGGCCCTTTACCACTGAGCTATGTCCCCAGCTCTTTTTTCAATTTTAAATTTTGAGACAGAGTCTTGCAAAGTTGCTGAGGCTGGCCTTAAACTTTCAATCGTCCTGCCTCAGCCTCCGGAGTCACTGGGATTACAGGCATACGCCACCATGCCTGGCCAAAAACCCTACATTTAAGAGGAGAGAATTACTTCTGAATTCTGTCCAGACCTTGCTCACTCAGGATATAGTTCCCACTCCACAAGCATGGTTCCTCTAAGACACACGGGGGCGCCCTACTCCCGGGAACGATACTCAGGGCTAGAGGCCCAGGAGCTTAGACCTGGCTGGTCAGGTCCCAACTCATTTTCTGCTGTCCTGCATCTGCTTCGGCACTGACTGGGCTGTGCTGATCGCAGACTTTTCCACTCTGCGTCATTGCCAAACGGTTCCTCTGGACCCAGAAGACCGGAAGTATTAGGTGGTATATGGGGTAGAACTCGGATTTTCTTCCCCCTAAAAAGGTTCTCCCAGTTCTGAGCTTGGGAAGGAATGGGGAAAGATGGCAATTGGGGGTACCCAAGACGCCTTGAAGCACAAGTTTAGGGCCGCTTCTGGCAGTCTGATCAGCCAGGATAATGTGGAGGGGGACAGGAGACTACTCCCACATCTGATCTCAAGAATACCTACTGGAAATCCCTTTGGGAAAGAGGAGGCCTGGAGCCTTCAGCACCCGGACAAGGTCTCCTTTCAGGCTGCAGGGAATACTCAGAGCCACCAGTCAAGGTTAACATTAGTGTCCCCGACTCATTTGACACTCATTATAAATCCTCCTTCAAGCCAAGTGCAGTGGTGCACACAAGTAAGTCCAGAAACTTGGTAAGCTGAGGCAGGAGGATCACAAGTTCAAAGCCAGCCTCAGCAACTTGAGACCTGGTCTCAAAATAAAAAGGGCTGGGGATGTAGCTCAATGGTTAAACTTCCCCGGATTCAATTCCTGGTACCAAAAAATAATAAGCTTTCCTTTGAGAGGCAAGGCCCCTGGTAGTTCTATTTCTACTTCTCAAGTCATGTGTGTAGTGCTCTACAATGAGGATGCTGATGACCTTAACAGGATTCTAGAGGCTCATCAGCATTTGATCTTTTTTTTATTTCTCTTGGGAGGCTGGCAAGTAGGCAGTCAGGAAGTTGTCCTACCCCCTTTTTGGCAGTCTGGGATTTAAACCTGGGGGCACTTTACCACCTAACTACGTCCCCAGCCCTGTCCGCCTTTTAACTATTGAGACAGGGTCCTGCTGAGTTGCCAAGACTGGCCTCAAATCAGTGATTCTCCTGCTTCACCTCCTGAGCAGCTGGGATTACAGGCATGAACCACCATGCCTAACTAGTATTCCTACTGTACAGGTGAGAAAAGTGAGGGCCAGAGAGCGAAAGTCACATAGTACATTTCCATTCCTGACAGACTGTTATGGTTTGGATATGAGGTATCCCCCCCAGACTCCTCTTAATGCAGGAATAGTCAGAGGTGACATTATTAAATTATATGAGGACTGTAACCTACTCAGTCCATGCTAGTTTGAATGGACTGACTACTGGGGCATGCCTGAAGATGAGTGACTGGGGGTGTCCCCTGAAAGGGCACATCTTGTCTGCAGCCCTTTCCCCCTCTCTGCTTCCTCATCCTTCCATAAACTGATCTATTTTCCTCAGCTGGGCTCTTCCCTCCATGATGTGCTGCTAACCTTAAGCCCAGAGGAATGGAGTCAGCTGTTTATGGACTGAGACCTCTGAAACTGTGAGCCCTAAATAAACTTCTCCTCCCTGAGTTGTTTTTGTCAGGTGTTTTGGTCACAGCTATGCAAAAGCTGACTAACACTGACCTAACTAAGGCAGTGAACCTTCAAATCCAAGTGCTTCCCCACCTCCACCCCACCTCCACCCAAAGTGGAAAATCAAGGCATGAAACAAACCCTAATGTGTTAATGAGGGTCTTGAGCCATTACAATTCTCAAAGATCCTGAACTGGCAGTGGAAACTGAGTTCATAATAGAACTGGATAGCTGAACTTTCAGAGCCATCCAAATCTGAAGCACATCTGGGAGAGGCACATGTGTCATTGTCTGACTCTGGGGCCTAAGTGAAGGATGCCCCTTCTCTGATGTTTTGATATTACAACTAGGTCCTCCCCAGGGCCAAAGAGCGGAGGAGTTACTTATCCTTAAGGTATTACATCCTAGTTCCCTCCCTCCTATTTAAAGGTCTTAATCTGAGCTCATAAGGAAGGACAAGGATCATGGCTTCCCGCTAACTCCCTGCTCAGAAGGAACAGCCTCCCTCCTCCCATTCTCAGTTGGAGTTCTTAAACAGGCTGCACAATGAGAGAAACACACATATATGGAAATGTACACAAGGTGACACAGTCACCTACACAAGCACATGGATCTACCTACCAAACCCAGGAATGCATACAAGCACAGATGTCCTGGTCTCACATAACTCCCCAAAGTGAGAAAGAAGTCTGGGCAGCCGAATGGTTTTGGCAGATGTAAGAGGGGACATGTAGCACTTCCCAGGCCTAGAGTTTCTATCCCTGGTTCTGGAAGGAGGCAAGAGGATGTGTTTTCTCTGGGGTTCTGGTGAATTTCTCAAAGGGCTGTTGGGGATTATAGGATTTTCATTTGTAAGAGTGATCTGAGTAATGGTGGGAGGGGGCTGATCCAGCACTAACCAAAGCCTCCCTATGGATGCCAGGTGCTAGAAACATAGGGTACACCTGGGTGTGAGTGTGGGCAGCTGCACACTAGAATCTCTCCTTGGGTCCACCTGGGCTATTTGCAGGAAACTTGGGGAAGCAGTGAGGTGCACTAAAGACTCCCTTCTGCTACAGGAAGCCAGAGAGGCAGCAGGATAAGTAACGGCATGGACATTCAGAGAGCCCCACAGCAGCCATCACACATGAAACTACACAATCAGCACCAAATGTTAAAATAATCCACATAATCTCACAATCACAAAATATACAACAACCCACTTTAACAACTGTTCATTCCAGGAGGTTCACAGTCCATAGTCTTATAAAGAGACATACCACCGTAAATGAAGCCCTAATACGTTGTCACATGTCACCTCACATAGAATCATACACTCAAAGCCTATAGTTGCACATACAACAAAGACACATGGTCAAAACAACTTAAGTACAACCAGCGTCCTACATAGCCTCATTCAAACATCAGACAAGATCATAAATTGCACTGCCACATGCACTCACACTCACCCTGGTTGTCACCAAGCCCAAGGCACATGGCAACCAGCTGTGGGAGGTACACACACATACATAAAGCAGACACACATAGGAATGATAAGCGCTCACTCACGTAACACCTCCCACTCCAGACACACTCCCAGCCCTGTGTCACACACGCCCACACCTGCTGCCTCTCCACACCTGCCCCACTTGTCCCTCCACCCCTATGGAACTCAAGGCTTCGAACCCCAGTATCCAGTTGCCTAGACCAGCTGGGAGAGTGCCTGGGAATGGGGCAGAGAGCAGGTATGGAGCAAGTCAGGGTAGGAGAGGTGGAAGGGTCTGGGGGGATGGAATCCACCCTCCCTCCCGTGACCCCTGCGCCACTGACTCACCCGTGAGCTGGTCGTAAGAGCCGTCCAGATCTCGGGAATCGGACAAACTCTCCTTGCGGCCCTGACCCCGCATGGCCCCCGGCGCCCCACTCCCGCCTGGGCTGTGGGAGGGGGCGCCGGGTGGCCGGGATAGGGCGCTCACACGGCGCCCCCTGGCGGCCTAGGGCACCGTTGGGGCTGGGGACCGGGAGAGCCAAAGGTTGGGGGGCTAGTCTGGGGACCAGAGGGGTTCTAGGCCCAACCTAGGGGGGTCCCGGGGCAGGAGCAGGAGGCTTGGGCGGCAAATGAGCGCAGAGCCAGAGGCAGAGTGGAGCTGAGCTCTGAGCAGGAGCGATCCGCCTCTCTCCTCCCGCCCCCTCCCCGCGGCTGTCACTGCCGCCTCCCCTCTTTGGCGCTGCTGGGATTGGCTCCCCCTACCTCCGCCCCCCACCCTCTACAGCTCGGGGGAGGCTCCGGTGAAAGGGTGAACTGCAAAGTGCAGGGAGGGAGACCATCTCCCAGCAACACCACCTCTAAACCTCAAGCCACCGATGTTGGGGTGCAAGAGAGAGCGGGGCCAGAGACCCCACTGTGAGGAAACCTCGCCCACAATTTTCAGACACCCTCTTCCCCTACCATCAGCACTGTCTGGTGGAGTCAGAGCCTGGGTTATGCCTCTGGGTTCCCTGTTCGTTTCTCCATGTCAGCCCCTATTTTGTTTGTTCCTCCTGCCAGTTCCAGCCAGTCCCCCGTCTCCACCCTGCTTCTCTCAGCTTCAAGTGGGAAGAGTATGCAGAGAAAAGTCCACCCGTTCTCGGATACAGGCGCTGTAGACAATTTTTTGTTGCCTCAAGTTCCAGCAGGATGCCACTCTCACTTAGGGCCCCCTGTCTGGATATCATCCATTCCCAGGGGGCCTTCTTCCCTGATCTAATAATGACCCTCTTGGCCATCCATGAAGATAAGAAAAACAGTGAACCAGGTCAGTTTCTCAAGACTTCCTTGCTCTTTTGTTCCTTTTTCCTTTCAACTTTTCTGCCCTTCTCTTTTGTCACCTACCCTATCTTAGATTCCTTGTTTTCCAGCAGATTTAGGGAGGTAGTGAAGGGTTTGGGGATCTGGGTGAGGACAGAGTGGACAAGTAATGCCCCTTTATGAAGCCCTCTCCACTTAAGATTAGCTCTTTTTCTGAAAGCAGGGACAGCACAGAGCTGGGCTCCCTTAGTCTCAATGTGTTTGAATTGCCCCCAGGATACTTCCTGGGCTCCTAGCCAAGAACACAGTCTCTGTCCCCAAACCCTGCCATAAGAATGGGTGGATGGTGTTTAGTGGGTCTTGAGAAGTGGCTTGCTGAGAACAAAAGCTTCAGCTAAAGTGACCCCAGCACATTTAATCTCTTCAACAGGATTTAATTTCCAACCACTTGTTTCAATCAACCCAGCAGGAATTGTCTTTTGGGAGCAATACCCTGCTTCTGGCTCTCCTCTGACTCTGCAGAAGCCTCCAAATACCTGGCACAGAGGCTGGGCATGGGCAACTCTTTTTGAGGTTGATTTCTGAAGAGAATGGGAACTCCTGTTTGGAGTTCTTGGAATAGGTGTATGTGAAGAAATAAGGTCAAGAGATGGACTGTATCAAGGGAAGGCAAGGAAGTCCTCTGCTTAGTGACCCATGTCCTAGACCTGCCTTTCTTCACTTTATATGAAATGCTGGCAGGAATCCAGAAGGAGCCCAAAGGACTTGCTGACATCAACACAACAAAGTTTGGAGATAAGGGAATTGTATTCTGCCTTCTTCCATCCAGAAAGCAAGGGAGGCTACAAGTGTCTGAGCTCAACTGTCCTCTACTAATGCCATGACACTCAGGAGGAGAGTTAAGGACAGGTAGGGGGTCTCCTAGCCAGATGGGACCAACACCTGGGAGATTACCTTAACTCTGTCTCTGAGAATTGAGTCTGGGCCACATAGATTAAGGGGGTGGGGGACACTAAGAAGATTGTCCCACACAGATCAATTTTTAATAACTTCAATTTGCCACCAGCTCCAGATCCAGCTGTTCTGGGGTTTATCACCTTGGAAAAAACTAATGTCACAGGCTGAGCTATCCATACAGTGATTAGTGATCAGAGAAGACCCAGTCCATGATCTCTTCAGATCATACATCTAGGCATGGGAGTCTGTTGGTGGATTCTCTGAAACTAATGCTTATCTGCTCAAAGTTGGAGCCACAACTCTGGTTCCCAGGGAGGGCAAGTATACCAAAGAGATACAGGGCTAACTGGATAACAGCTAGGGAGGTCTCACACCTGTTCTCACAGCTGGATTTCTGCACTTTATCCAATTATTTCTGCGCCTGCTTGCTCCTTGCCATCCTAAGGGCTTTAGAAAGGGAGAGTCTTATAGCAGCAGCTATTTTGGAGGTAGCTGTGGAGTTTAAAAAAAAAAAAAAAACCTACAATGGTCCTGTGGAGGCTATACAAAGGAGGAACCACAGACTGACTTCCCGAAGATCAGGAGATTTGCCCATGGTCCCACCCAGAATATGGGTAGATAGGGTGAAGGCCCTACACATAATGCTCACCTGGCCTTTTTCAGATGGAGGGCACCCTGCTCCCAGCAGGTTCTCTCCCTCTCAGGGGCACCAGACCATAGCAGGAACAGATTCCTCCCCAGAGGAAATTCTTAAGCAGGCTGGATGTAAACAACAGCAGGGTGAGGGGGTGGAACATGTGGAGGGGAGCTCAGCAGAGGCAGGAGAGGCCCCCAGTGGGAGGGGGTGGCTGAGAAGATGGGAAAACTGCTGGAAAGGGAACCAGCAAAGTAGGCACTTTAAGGGCTCCAGAAAACCTGTCAATGTTTATTTTGTGCACACCCTAAAGACAGTTTAAACCAAACTAAAAATGCAAAGCTAAGGTTGTAAGCCTTTTATGCTGATGAGTCAATGGGCTGGAAGGCAAGGGAAAGCTAACAGGTATTTCTGGTGCCAAAACTAAAATTCAGAAAGTGGTGGCCAGACAGTGAGCACTGCGTAGATTCCAGCCTCCAGTTTCTTACAGGAATCGACTTTGAATTGGGGGGGGAAAAAAAAGTGCCCTACTCCTATCCTATCCTATCCTAAGCCTGACCTGAGGGTCCTAATGACTGGACAGAGTCCTAGCAGGGTAAGGACATAGATGTCAAACCCAGCTCAGCTCCAAGCTTAAAGGGAACAGGATATGGCTCCTGGTATGTCTGAAAGTTGATCTATTTTCAGAAGCCAAGGAAAGCCATTGGCCTTCAGGGTCCTGGCCTCTCCTGAGGCTTGCCCCATCAGCTTCTGAAAATCAGCCAGAAGTCACAACTTGTAAAGTTAATTGGAAATGTGAGGGGGTGTCCAGGGGACCCATCTAGAAGTCCCCATGTTCTTGGATGTCTCTCCTTTTGCCCACCGATTCCTCCCCAAATAATATCATCCCTGGCTTGCCCCTGCTGTCCAAGCTTCACTGAAGTGTGGCCTTCACCAGGAGAACTCAGTATCTGTTTCTCTCCAATCTTGGAGGCAGCCCCCTCTCCCCTTGCACCCCTCCAGCTCAGGAGCCTCATGAGTAAGGGCAGTCAGTGGCTGTCAGGTGGGCATGGCCTCAGGAGATAGTGGAGAACTCCTTTAGCAGGACCTCCTGGCTGAGTGTGTGGAAGGCCAGGTTCCTCCGGACATTGGTGCTAATGGATCGAACCTGGGAAAGGGTAGGGGTAAGGTGGGAAGGCACAGAAAGAGAGAAAACAGGACATAGTCAGTTACAAACAGCAGACGGCAGTGCCTGTGGCACAGGGCTAAGGAAGTATCCACCATGCTAGCAGGGGAAAGACCTATGGAGAACTGCTGAGAGGGCCAAACTCTCTATTATGAGAGGGTTCCACAAGGAATCTAGCAGACTCTGCAAGGAGGTTCATCCATGTATATGTTTATGAGAAACAAAAGGGTGGGGGGAGGAGATAGTGTGTGTCCTGAGCCCTAAAATCTGCTTTGCTGTAGAAAAGTTAATAAAGTTGTTAGGTAGGAAACAGGAAAGAACAGCGTGGCAAACTGCAAGCAACTCAAGTTCATTAACTCCCAACTGGACCAGACTCACTTTGCATCCCTGTGCCAGAAGTGCAGACAGGAGAGCTGAGTAAGGCAGAGGCTACCACCAAAGAGCCTAAAGACAGAGCTCCTCTAATTCTCCTTCACAATCTTTTTCATCTCCCAATAGTTAATTGCTGGTCCCCAGTAATTCCCCAACATGGACATAAAGACTCATCAACTACCCCATAAAAATACTCTTACTTGCTATATCCTTACACTAATGGCTTCCCTGTTCCCAACTAACTCACACCAGAGAAATCCTGAGGAGGTCATGTCAGGGTCAGATTTGGGCTGTGTTTAGCACAAGACATGATCTAAAATCTAGCACCTTCACTGTGGATGGATGTGGTGTGGGGAAGTAAAAGCTGGGCCACTGGAAGTTATACTCCAGCAGAGGGAAGTCTAAAGACATGGGAAGTAGGTACAGAGGCCTCAGTGTCCTGGTCTTAGTTCCCAGCCAGAAAGTTTATGTAAACCAAGCAGGTGGTGTGGTAGGACTATAGGGAGGCTGAATTTTTCCTGAGAGCAGCTCTGATCACAGGGCAGAAAAGGGACAATTAATAGGGAGAGATCAGTTTTGTGGAGATGCTGACTGGGAGGTGGAGTAGGAGGCAGAGAAAATGCTTACTGGCTCTGGGTAGCCAAGGGTGGGGACTGTAGGAAGCTGAGTGATTGGAGAGTAGGAGTGGGTATAGGGAGTAAAAACTAGAGAACTATATTAGGAGGGCACTCAGACTAGGAACCAGTTAGGAATTTAGGAAGAAGTGAATAATTGATTCTCATTATCCTCATTAGTTGCTCTGAGGCCTTGATAAAGAGCAATGAGCCAGAACTACCACTGGGAACACACGTCAAATCCCAGGCCCAGTTGGAGCTGTGCAAGGGCTGTCTCCATGGCTGCAGAGGAGGTACTGCACTGGGAATATTTTCTTCTCTCACTGCCTCCTCCTGAACTGTTTTGGTAGAGAAGTTTTATATTGGATCCCAGCAGACCCTTCTAGTCTTAGCCTGTGGCAAACTGCAGCTGTTCCCTAAATGTCCACCTACAAACAGAACCTAGTAGCTGGGAATGGGCCCCCAAGAAACATAGGCAGAGCCAGGGGTAGAGTACTCACCAGCTCTTTGAAGAAGGCAGCTTCCTTATGCTGCTCTGAGTAGCGCTCATACTGGTCCAGGCCATCCTGCAGCTTCAGTGTGAGTGTGTCATAGTTGGCTCGTACTACCTCTAGCACCTGAGGGAGGTAAAGAGCA